CGGCTCAGTACTGCCAGTACTGGCAGGTATCTCAACACCCTTGAGGACTTGACGGAGATTTTCAACGGTTGCGGTCACGTACTGCTTTTGAGGGCACAACCACAATGTGTAGCAAATGCGTGACGGGGGCAGATCAACCTTTCGCAGAGGATTTCCCGGTTGGCGATTGGCTAGGAGGAGACTGAGGCATAGTTGTGCACCAAGTCCGGTCAAGTCCCAGTCCTTGGCGAACACCACGCTGTCCTGTTCGACGACTGCCATAGACGAGAGCACATTTACCTGCGACAAAAAGCAAGAAGGGGAGATAACTTACGCAGAATGTCGATCACCGGTTCTAGGCATTAGCAAGAAACCGACAGTTTTCAAACATTGTCATGCGATCGTGCCGACGTGCTATTGATATTTACTTGATGAGGTTGTGGTCATGTCCCATGCGGCCGGCGTCGATGATGGCCCCACACGGTTTCTTTATAGATGCACAGAGATTGCTGGAGACGGATATGCCTACCTATACCAAATCTTCTCCAGCGACAAGAAGTACCACAATTTCAGGTGCAGCTACGAAATCTTGGCATGCTTTATCAAACTAGACTGCTTTTGTATCGCGTGAAGTTGGGGAAAGAAGTCGGCGTTAAGGCCGTATCAATGAGTTCATTGAAACGCAGCAATGGATATGCGTAAACTATTTCAGACACCTCTAGCGAAAGTCCTGAAATATTCTCGCGAGGTCTTCGCAGTAATTACGGACTGTCTCGTTTGAGGCAGAGCCAATGAACCGCCTTCAACGGCAATCGTGACTGACAGGCACTAAGGAGAGGGACTGCCAGTCAGCCATTTTCCGGAAAGTAAATATATCGTCCGATCATGTGGCTAGATTCTAGAGGAGAATCATTAATTTTTGACAGATGGAAGGGCGGGTTGATTTGTTGACGCAGCAGAAAGATACGTGTTGATATAACACGCATATTAGACGTGGATCATTCCTTGGCAAGCAAAAACATCACGGCAACAGCCCAGCCAGCAAAAACTCGCGATAAAGGTTCCAGTGATAAAAATGATAACGGGCACCGGACTCCTGAAACAATCTATCACGCACGCCTTTTTCCGTAGTCAGCCGCGGAGCAGTGTTGAAGTAAGTGGAGAAGAGACGCTCGATGCGGAATGTGCTGGCAGCTAGCTGAGGACTGTCGCCGTTGTTGGTAGTGGTGTAGAGGGTGTTGCCGCCATTGGACAAGAGCTTCCACGTGTGTGCCCTTCCAGCTACGTGTGCAGCCATGTTCTCCTGAGGCACGGGCACACCACAGACTGCGCACATCTGAGCACCGGGAAGACAAACGTTCATCGGACTGTCGCCGACGTTATTCTTCTGGCAACGAACGGGGGAGGGGACAAAGGAAAAGGTTAATTACAAAGGAAAAAATCAGGAAAGTACAGTAAACCAGGAGGCATTGAACAAAGTCTTAAAATGTTCCTCGGAGTGGGGGGGGGAGGCTAAGCGTGGTTTCAACATTTATTGGCACGGAGTGTAAGTCACCGTTTATACATATGTGATGGCACACTGGCCTCCGGTTGAGCACATTTCCGGTCTCGTGCAGCCTCATATTTGAAGGTTTATCAATGGGTGCGGGGGGATATTGTAGGCGTATAAAGAGATATAACCATTTGCTTTAAGGAGCACAAACTGCATACATCTTTTGGAAAATTCAGGAGCAAGTAAAAATACACAAATAAGCAAATCTTTTTAACATCGAAATGTACCCTCCCTTGTGCACGAAATTTAAACATGACCCTTTCATTAAATGGAATAAAGAAATGACACGTTTGTACACCCTTTGTGGAAAATCAGCGGAAAAATACAGCCGACAGACGCGTTGAGTTTTGAACATGTGAAACCGCAAGTGGCTCACACGATGCGCAACTGGAAGCCAGCATGCCAGCTCGCAGGAATCGACATGGGATTACGCTCTCTGCTGACCACTAACACGAGCGCATTCGACTTTTCCGGTCCAAAGGCGTACAGCCATTTATACCCCTTCCCATATAGAGCAGTTATGGTAAGAAGAGTTAACTACACCCATCTTGGTGCAGCAGGTCAAAAAACGGTGGTAGAGAGTAAAAGAAAAGTTAAAACAATGACCAAATGCAAATATCACAGTAAGAGCAGAAAGCCTGTAGAAATTGCGTTAGTTCATAAATGAGACCACAGACTTACGTCTGCTGTCATGAAGACGTAAGTTCTGAGGCTCCGAAGACATCGTGAATAAGTTACAGTTTAAAAATAAAGCAGTTAAATAATAGTTAAGGTACTTGATGGGGTTAAGGGGCGACGCACGTCGAATCCCTAATAAACAAGGTTAAAGACAAAAAACTGCTGAACTACTCTGCCCTTCGTGAGGAGTAAACAGTGAGATGCAAGTAAAAAGTGAAAGTCGGCCGGAACGTCACCCACGAGGCGGTTGCGATAAGAAGTCCGGTCTGTCTGAAAATACCTGGTAATTTGATAGCAATCGCCCCGCACTGCAAACAGCCATATCGATGCTATTTAAATGGTACCTAAGACAGGGACGTTTTTCGCAGTGGTAAGAGGCAAAAAGCGCTTTTGTGTACAGTAGGTGGCGTAACTCAGTAAACATTAACTTTACTCCAAAATATGATTTCAGTTAGAAAGGACTACTCAGGTGGGATTGCAGTGTTGATTAACATGCAGCATAACCCCATGACATTTGACTCTTTTTGACCACGTACAAAAAACGCACTCGCTAAAAAATGACCACTCAGGTAGTATGATTTTCTTCGTTGATTTTCGATGCCTTTGTAAAACCAAACATTTTTGGAAGGAAGCACAAAACACTATTACACCCACTCTGTAACAAACTAAGTCGTCCTGAAATATTCTATCCGGAGAAAATGATAGCCTTCGGCTTCACAAAGGTTTATAATTAGTAGATTATTAAGACCAATCCAATGGCAAATCGACCGGAAACTTCGACGGCTCTGGTGACCCACGGAATAGCCTGATACAAAGCGAACATTACGAATCTCAGTGAGACCCACTTCCCTGAACAGGGTCAATCTGGAGAGGTGGGCGTCGGATACATCTTCCGGAGCGGAAATTCGTGGGCGCGGCGAGAAGAGGGTGTCGCCTTCGCCATCAGGAACGACGTCGTCAGGCGGCTGTCCTGCCTACCACAAGTCGTTAGTGATCTTCTAGTGACTATCAGGCTGCCACTCCGCGGGAACAAATTCGCCACCATCATCAGCGCCTACGTCGCCCTCCCAACAACGTCCAACTCCAATGACGTGAGGAACAAGTTCTACGAAGACCTGCACACGCGCCTAGCGGATGTGCCCAAGGCGGACAAAGTGGTTGTTCTTGGCAATCTCAACGCCCCCGTCAGCACAGATTGGGCTGCTTGGGAAGGAGTTCTAGGTCGCCACTGGATCAGCAGCTGCAACAGCAATGCTTTCCTCCTGTAGACATGCACGAAACACAATCCGCTCCTGACCAACGCCGCCTTCCGACGCAGGCGAAGGTGACGTGGATACATCATCGCTCGCGCTACTAGCATCCGTTGGATTACGTACTAGTCGGGAGGCGTGACTAATGTGACTTGCTCGTAACTACAGCGATTGAAGGTGCCCACTGCTCGACGGATCCTCGCCATATCATCTCCAAGATGAGGCTCCAAATGCAACCACGCAGGCGACCGCAAGGTAAGACAACATCAGTTAAGATGAAAACTGTGGTAGTTGATGCGGCCGGCGTCAGTTGAATTTTGGCAACTGCGTGAACTTTAAACTGGAAGAAATGAACGTCCTGGAGGCGCATACCAATGTCGGGACCTAGTGGACGGGGCTGCCAAATACCATCCAGGCCATTCCGTTGGAAGCCCACGATCGAGCATTCCGTCAGTGACAAATCTGGTTTGATGATGATGACGATGACGAAGAAACCCCCCCACCCCACTCCTTTCAGAGAAACACGGTTTACAAACGACCTACGTCATTGACAGCATTAACGCCAATGGGTCTGCATATTTTCGATGTCGACGCTTAGCACAACAGAGCCTAACAGAAATGCAAAACGACCGACTGACTCGTAAAGCAGAAGGGATCCAGGGTTATGGCAAGTGAGGTAAGATGGAGAGTTTCTATGCGACCATCATAGTAGTCTGCGGTCCACAAACCACAGAGACTACGCCACTGCAAGCCAAGATGGGACGACCCGCCTGACGAGGTCGCAGACCCTGGGGCGTTGGGTCTCGCGCCTCCAGGGCATCGTCAACCACCTATGGCAATATTCAAAGAAACCGCCAATCAACTTCTGCAAGTGGGCATCTGTGAAAATCCTAATAGTCCTCCTTCCCTCTTTGGGACAATCGGGCAGCGCAATAGCTGTCCAATGGAAAAGCATCTGGAGCAAAAGCAATTCTAAGTACAGGTACAGCAACCCATAACTTATGGAAAAGTCTACCTGGCCGTTTCAGATGTGCTGCAGGAACACTGGCGGAAACACCGCGGAACAACAGACATGGTCTTCACGGCCCGCCAACTACGCGACAAGTGCCTGAAAATGAGCACAAACCTCTACATCACATACGTCGACCTGATGATGGCTTTCGGCACAGTGAGCCGCGATAAAATTTGGCGAATACTGACGAAATTCGGGTGTCCTGAACAACTTACTTAAATGGCAAGACAACTTCACGACGGATGATAGCACGTGTCACGGAAAAGGGGGTGATCTCTAAAACACTCGCTATGATCAATGGGGATAAACAAAGCAGCGTATTCGTTCCAACTCTATTCGCTTTCGTGTTCTTCGCTATGCTGATGGACGCCTACTGCAAGCAGTGGCTAGGCATCTACATCGACTGCTGAACCAACGGAAAACTGTTTAACATCAGTCGTCTGAAAACATTTTTGAAAGTCCCCAAGGCTACCGTCCACAACCTACTGATTGCGAATGACCATGGGCTAATTCCATAACGGAAGAGGACATGCAACGGATCTTCGACCTCTTCACTTCCGGCTGCTCCAACCTCGGACAAATCATCTGCACGGAGAAGACGGTGATCCTGCGCGAACCGCCGCCAAAGTCTGAGTACACCGAACCCCGTACCAATGTCTGCGGCACTCATCCCGCAGCAGTGAGCAAATTCGCGTAACTCGGGAGTACTGTTTCAAGAAACATCAAGATCGACAACGAAATCGCAAGTCGGATCTCCAAAGCCAGTCGGACCTTCGGCCGGCTAAAGCACACCGGTTGAAATAGTCGCGGCATACTAACCTGAGGACTTATACAGCTGTTGTCCTGGCAACGCTCTTGTAAGGAACGGGGATGTGGGCTGTTGATGAGGTCCAACCAAGAAGACTCAACTATTTACACTCAGCTACCTCCGAAGGATATCGAAGACACTGTAATCACGGAAAGAGCCGGCGTCCGGGCACGGATCGACCTCGCTGGACATCTCCGGACGCAGTGCAATGTCAACGCGACCAAACTGCTTCTCATCCCACAACACACCATCACCAGCAGCACCAACGAGGGCACTTCTACCCACTTGCTAAGCAGTGCCGCCGCCGTCCCTACCAGCAACAACGTGGACTCAATTTCAACCTAACCCCACTGCGACCGCACCTTCTCATCACGCATTGGGCTAGTCCGGCACTTGTGAATCCCTCCCACTGGGACTGGCATACCGTGCCAGGAGCCCGTCGCTCCTTCCTTACCTGCCATACTGCTAAGGACATTCGGTCATCGCATAGGCCTATTCGACCATACGCGCCCACATGCAGATGTCCAATAAAACCGCACTCCAGATCCCATCACCACATCTTGCTCTGCCTACCTAAACACACACACACTTCTAAGCCATCTGTGAATCCTCTCCGCACCTACCTGCCACACCCCGTAACAACCATGGCTTTTTCTAGCGGCAAGCATGTTGTCCGCTTCGCCA